CACCAACACCAACACCAACACCAACACCAACACCAACACCAACACCAACACCAACACCAACTCTAACACCAACACCAACACCAACACCAGCACGTGCACGTACTCCTTCACGCATCTTGTACCAACAGCAACTGCTGCAACAGCGACAGCAACAACAACAGCAACTATCACAGATCTGTATCATAACTGTAACATTGTCAGTTGTGATAGCAAATCGACAACAGCAACAACAACAACAACAGCCACAAGCACAGTTGGCCATGCGACCTCCATCAAAGCAACCGCAACCACAACCACAACCACATCAACAACAGCTAAATTAAATGTCAATGCCAATGCCATTCCTTCGCAGAACCAGAGCCAGACCCAGAGCCAATCCTATACGCACACGATACAGTCGCTGATCAACAACAGCAATGTGAGGGTGAAGATTGCCGATCTGGGCAATGCCTGCTATGACGTGAGTACACCTGATAGCCCTATCACAACTTATTTCAATAATCGATTGATATCTAATGTCTATCTTCCTCGCGCTGTGTCCTCTGAAGTACCACCATTTCACTGAGGACATACAGACGCGCCAGTACCGCTCTATCGAGGTGCTGCTAGGTGCGCCGTATAATTACACCGCTGATATTTGGAGCACCGCATGCCTGGCCTTCGAGCTGGCCACTGGCGATTACCTCTTCGATCCACATGCGGGTGAGTCTTACAGTCGGGACGAGGATCATCTGGCGCACATTGTGGAACTGTTGGGATCGATACCGCAGTCGGTGATCCTGCGTGGAAAACATGGGCTCAAGTACTTTACGAGCTATGGTGAGTGAGCATATTTATTCTAGTTCGACCGCTGGACCACTAACACCGTAAGGGCTTACTCCATCCGCAGGCAGCCTACGGAACATTACGAAGCTGAAGCCCTGGAGTCTACTGAATGTGCTCGTGGAGAAGTATGACTGGGATCCCGTAGAGGCAAAGAAGTTCTCCGACTTCTTGCTGCCTATGCTCGAATACAATCCAGTCATACGCGCATCAGCGGCGGAGTGCTTGCAGCACCCTTGGTTGGAGCAGGAAGAGTTCGTCTAGGTGAATAAAGGGGCAAGCAGCAAGCGGAAAGATGCAAGGATCTGGGATCAAACATCACTGAACAGCGGACAGAACATACATATTTTAATCTCGAACTCATATTTGTAGGATTTTATATGCGAACAAGATTGTCATAGTGGAATTAATATTACGAAATATATAAATAGATATACAAATATGCTAAATTAGCGTTTAAGCGTGAGGGCAAAACACAAAAAGATACCATTTCAGAGCGTAGGGCAAAGAGTTTTCGAAACTTTTTTAAATTAACACAATTTTGTACTCGAGAGCTTTAAAAGAAAAAAAAAACTTTTTGCAAATCATTGTTTTATTTATTATCAAAGTGAGACAGGAATGCAAAACGAAGTAATTTCTTTGATTGCTCTTGTTTTAGATTCGATTATTATTATTTTTGTATTCCAAAAAGACAGAGGCGACAAGTGTTAAGTCAACAGATGCCTAAACTACATGACTGATTGCAACAAAAACAAAAACAAGAAAGAAAAATTTAAAAATGAATATTTAATAATCTTTTCGGGCAAAACTGAAACTAGAGATATATTAAGGATTAGTCAAATATTGAGGGAAGAGTTTGATAATTGTATGGTATATATGTACGTACGTATGTGTTTGTATAATTAATAACATATTCAAAAATATGTATGTAGATACTAACATTGTTACGATTACGATACAGTTTAAAGAAACAAATACAGCCCGCTTTCTAGCAGCAAGTAGTGATTGTGGTATAGCTATCCAACTATTGTAGAACTTCAGCAGAATAAAATTGTGTGTATTTCATTTCTGAATTGGTTTCACAAATTGTTTGCTCTTCTATAGAGATAGATAAAATGATTGATTTATTTGTACAAAACTATGGCAGCTGCGCGCTTCGAAGATAATCACAAACTAAGTCAAACTAAATGCACAATGGTATAATTCATAGCGTATAACTCCACAGAATCAATATGGTATTAACGTAAATCACAAGTGAAACGCTTGTATTGGAATTGAGAATTCTCTAATGAAATTTAAAATAACTAACTACATATTTTATTACCTACCTACAAGTATTTCTACACAAGCCTAAGAAAGTAGCATTAAACGTGACCAAATAATATAATATTGTGGAAGAATTTTCGATCGACACGTTAACGAAATAATAAATAAACAAAACACATTTAATATACACATGGGTAATAAAGAACAATAATAATAACCTACTAACGTCGTATTCTATGGAAACGGGCTTCGCATGCCGAGGCGAGTGAAGTACACAGATCTTATGATTTGGTTCGCATATGCACTTTATTTATACAGAAAATGTATCAAAATGCTGAATACTTTTGCCTTATACGCAGACAGGTTTTAGTAGGGGCGTTATCAATATAGATTATATATAATTATTAAGGTCTAACAATAGAATAATATGTACTCATTATTCGTAAACATAATGCACAATGATCGGTTATCAAAAACTATATAGCTAAATACTCGGATAAGAATGAGAGACTTTTCTTCTCTTCGCTCTATGATCTCTATAGGCCCAGGCCCATTATTTGCGCTTGCTTGTAGACACCATGATAGGCATTACGGATAAGAACGTACGGGAAACAGGACTCTAGAAGGTCCATGGTGAGGAATGGTGACTGCTTCACTATCTCATCCAGCAGTAAGTAGATGGACTCTCGATTGCGGGTGGCCTCCTTGTCGGACTCCTGACCTAAGCGCAGCAGGGAGGAGCTGGCTAGTGCCAAGAACTCCTTCATACGATCTTCCATGTCGTTCTGTCCACAGATCGTGAACAGCGCTCCGAAGATATTATTTATAGCAGCGGCCATGCAGTGAGTGTTATTCGAATGCCCGTCGATGGTGGCTCTGTAGAAGGAGTGTTCATTGCGAGCCAGCTTTGGTATGGACACGGCCACAAATACCATCAGTAAGCAGGCGGTCAGGTGCTCGCCCTCATCAAACTCTGGCTTCTTTGATTTCAATGTTGTGGCCAATGTAGGGTCCACTTTGCATATTAGACCCGCCGCCGAGGCCATTTCGGATGCGACGCGTATCTGATCACCTCCTGGCAAGTGCTCCTGGAAGTCTTTCACCGAGCTAAGCAGGAATGGAATTCGTTTATCCAGCACATCCACCAATGCCTCATGCACAAGGTTACGGAAACAGATAATAACTCCAATTATGGTCATGCGCTGCAGTACTCGGTCAACGTCCTGCAGCCGCTTGAACTGTTCCTTCATGACCTCCGGCTTGTCGAAACTGGTGCGCAAGGTGATCAGCACCTCCTTGTTGGTGCCCACTAGGGATTTCAACTCCTGCACCTGGTTGGCGATGTGCCACATGAGCGTCTCATTTAGAGTCTTGATTCCATAAGGACCAACCAGCTCAGCTAGGGCGCGCAGTTCGTTTAGATCGGAAAACTCCTGCGGATTGAACGGTACCCAGCCCTCTGGCGAAATAGGCACAAACGCTTTCTGATTAATGGAGAAGACAATATTGCCGGCAGAGACCCGGCGCAGCAGTACCTCGCTATACCAGGTGTTGTACAACGCTGCAATCGTTTTCTCGCCATGCGAGTCCAGAGCCTGAGTCTGTTGCAACAGACAGTTGTTGAACACACGCGTAATGTCAATGTGCACGTAGTTCTCCACGGTCTGCAGCACGTTCATGTACGCACGTACGCTGGCGAGCAGCTCCGATGGCTTGGCTATTTCCATGGTCTCTTGGTTAAACATCACCATGCCGACCAGATCGCGCGAAAATCGATGCTCCAGATTCTGGCAGAGATACTCGCGCGGAGCAAACGCAAATTCCCAAACGTTCACAGTGGGACAATAGTTAATGGCAAAGCATAGCTCTGTTAAGGCCATGTGCAATTTGTCCATTGTGGTCAGATCCTCGCGTGTCTTGCGGTACGACTCGTCGCCTGGCTTGCGTATGTCGTCAAAGTGCTTGGATTTCGACTTGTCCTTCTTTTTGCGTGCCGATTGAACGGACAAAATCTTTGCACAATGCTTGGGCAGCAGAGCATCTGCCATTGTGCACTGCTCGTCGCAAATCGTCGTTATAATGTTTTTGGCCTCCTTAGCCATTTCCTCCAAGAAAATGTTGACCACACTCAACGAACGCTCACGTATGTGGTGTCGCTCCTCTGGACACATTTCATGAGTGCAATTCTGAAAATGGCTGCAGATCAGAGGAAACGCGATTATGTAGCGATTCTGGGCCGGGAATTCCAGGCACATGTGAAACTGATCGTCAAACATTTTGTTATAAAAGCAGAATATGCTTAGATCCGAAGTCTCCACAAGTATCTCGTCCAGATTATCCACAACACGCGTGTGAAACACCATCGAATCGAGCAGGCGTGCCAGCTCCATGTGATCCGTGATGCGCAACGATGCCTTGCCGACGCTCATGTATGTTTGCAGGCGAAACCAATCCAACCGGAAGGGTCTGAAGTAGAACAGCTCGTTGTCCTCCACTTGCTTGACAGTCAGGCTAGCGGCTGTATTGTACAGCGAACTGAGAATGATGCTCTCATCCTCTGGGCACATCTGCAGGCTTTGCATGCGGATGTTCAGATCTGTGGCGTCAAATCCGGACAAGTATTGCACATAGTAGCGCTGCATCACCTGGCTATATTTGCGCACCAGCGCGCGCAACTCCTCCATGTGGAACAATAGTTCTGGAAGCTGCCGATCTACCAAGTCTTCATTGCTCTTGCCTGGAAGTACAGCTCAAAGTTGAATAAGCAACGGACAGCTGAAGACAGCAACTTACCTTTGTTCTTTATCAACGGCGGATTGTCGTTGTGGCGCAGCAACCAAAGGATCTCGTCGCGCGCCAAACAAAGTCCAATAAATATGAATATTGCCTTAGGCCCCAAGAGACCCGGCTGATCGGTCATAATAAGTGCCAGTTCCTTCAGCGCGGTCCGCAGAAACTTACGCCTCTCGCGATGCATCAATGTTGCCTTCTGAACGGCCGTGTTGTAGGCTTCCTTTACCTCGCTGATTCTCTTGCTGTAGCCCTTGATTCCATCGAATGTAGACTGAATGTATTGGTGAATCTGCAGCACCTCATCCCGAAAGAGAGCTACCACCCAGCTGCTTTCTAGAGCCGATATCCATATTTTGTTTACCTCCGGATATTGGGCCAGCATTTGGTGGTTTAGCAGCAGCCCGAATATGATCCATCGATCCATAGCCTCCAGCGAAATGTACTCACAAGACATTGTGTCCGTACGCACTGCCTTCAGCAGAATAGCCGGATTGCCCACTAGGCTGAGCTTCTGCATCTCGCGCCACTTGTCCGCGGGCAGATTTCGTAGGGCATAGATGGAGGTCAGGGAGCGCAATGCATTAGTGAGCAGGCGTTGGTGAGGAATGAACTCTTCGGCCAGCTTCTTCACCGGCACTTCGTAGTCAAGAATCATTTGGCCCAGACGAGGAAAGCCGGTATCCGCCTGATTGTTCTGCAACTCAAATGCCGCATTGTAAAGTCCGAGCACTGCCTTCCGATCCTCGACACGGGAGAGCACAATCATCAGAGAAACATAGGTAACTACCAAGTCCAAGTAGTTCTTGGTCAGCTCGAAGTTTAGTGTGATGTCCAGGTGGATCTGGCAAGCGTCCATTGTTGTCAACAGCTCACAAACGTTGTCCTTAAAGTCCAGCAGGTCGACAAACGTGTGGTAATAGAGCGAGAGAGATTTGATTATCTCAGCCTTGATGTTCACAATTGCATTCAAGCCCTTGACGTCGATGTTGGGAAAGCGCTTTACAATAAATTTGATTGACGACTCCAGCGACTTTTCGGACAAAAAGCCTGGCTTTGATTTGGTGTCTCCACATGCTTTTTTAATGTTGTAAATGCGTGTAAGAATTCCGAGACCACGATCGTTAAGAATTATCAGCTTTTCAGCAATTTTTTGCTGATTGGGAAAAATTGGGCGTGCCATATTTTTTATAGTGTGTCTTTCGAACGTAAACTATATTTTCATGTACCGCTTTTGGCAACTATCTAATAGCATCCAATGCATAAACTTCGGATTCGAAATTCAAAGATTAGAAAAACCTAAACAGCGCTAATAATCCTGTTTACTGGTATTTACTTAAAATATTAAAGACGGCTACGCTAAATGTACACATTTTATACAATGTGCCCGAATCTGGAACTAACAAAAAATACTGCATCGCCAAAAACCAAATGTTTTACTGTTTGATAATATACTAAAATATAATATAATAAGAAATTGATTGTAATTTTTTAAATTGTTATATTATATTTTACTTGTACTTAATT